CTTCTGATAGTGTAGGTTCTCCATGATTACATCCGCAATGTGTTCTACATCAAGAAGATTGAAAGCCTAATCAATATCAGAGAATGCAAAGGATGAAAGTTTGATCTTCAAGATATGTCATAATTTCAAGTAACTTCAAAATTTTGATATAATGGTTAGAGGGATTTTTTCATGGTATCAGAGCCAACTGTGGGTCAAATATTGTTGGCCTTAAATTTAAATGCGGATTAAAAAATTTATTACTGCTACATGAGTCTCGGTTTTAGTTCATAAAAGGGACATTCAATCTGGTATGTTAGAATATAAAATTATAATCCTCCAGCGAGTGAAAGGTGATCTTTTTAGAGCTCTTGAACGATCAATATTCTTGGGTTCCTCAAGTGATGTGAGATATGCAAGGGTATTTAAGTTTCGCCTGTGCAAAACTTATCTTGATTAATTTGATTTGTAAATATAGTGAATCCCTGATAAGAGATCGCGATCATGATTGACTGAATCATGTAAAAAGCTGTGTGTTATGGTGGTGTTTGTGCTCCTTGTTATGTAGTGCTTATTTGTGTCCTCCATAATCCCCAGCACTTTCCTCCTCTCCTATAAGCATGTAATCTCCTCAACAATAATTTCCAATTGTTCATGATATTTTCAAAGTTTTGAAAGTTCATAATCGCTAGCACTTTCCTCCTCTCCTATAAGCATGTAATCTCCTCAACAATAATTTCCAATTGTTCATGATATTTTTTGTGCGCGACGGAATAAACACAAACGCCGAGAGAGAAAGCCAAAACAATCCAAAATAACGGCACCAGCTCAAACACAAAAGTTTTAATGTGGTTAGGCAAATTGCCTACGTCCACGGGGCAAGAAGGGGATGGAGTTTTCACTAATAGAGAAGAAGAGTACAAACTAAGATTACAAATCGCTCAAAATAATCAACTAACCTCACTAACAAATCTCTTAATCTCTCCAAATAAAACCCTAAACAATAGCTCAGAAAATACCTCTTTTCTGTGCTCCAAATATCCCCCAACAATCACCAATCAAAACCAAAGATACCCTAATTCGTGTTTGGTATTTATACCAAACTCAAATCCCAAACAGAACAGGAAACAACAAAACAGGCCCAGACCCGACTCACGGTCGACCGCCGCACCCAGAGAACACGGTCACCGGGATTCTTAACGGACGGGAATTAAAATGACACAGGTCGTGGCGGGTCGGACTTCGCCGGCGCCACTCGCGGTCGACCGCCAAGAGTCCTGATTCATACGCAGGATCTGTGCACGAATTCGGTCGACCGGCCTTGCACCGCAGTCGACCACTAAACACCAAAACAGAACCTGAGCTCCAATACATCTTCTTCTCCAATTCTACAATTATCTACCTCGACGAAGTTTTTTTTTCAAAACTGAGCCGATACCAACCAAATTAAATGTATCACTTGTTGCGTCCAGTACGAAGTGAAACAAAATCACGACAATGGACTTCATCCACAATAAGTCGAGACCCAAATGAGAATGTGATCACTCTCCAAACGTCGGTATCTACTCAGCAAACCGGTTGCATAATAAATGACTGCTTATGTATCCTCTTGCCTAAGGAATCAAGCATTCACATAGTTCACCCAACGACCTCCAAAGGCCCTCAATCAACTAGAAGAGTTCGCAACTCTTCACCAACAAATCTGCGGTTGATAGCTCTCCCAATGGCCCCAAAGTAAAAACAAATCAAACACCTCCATCTGAGGTGAACCAATGGTCGTATCCAAATGAGAACTATATCCATCAGCTGCACTCGAATTAACCAACTCATCATCTGCATCTAAATCCAAATGATCCCATAAATGTGTCATCTCAACTGAAATCTCAAACGATACAGTATGATCTGGAGTATGTGGAGTAATTTTCACCCAACGTGGAGTAGCATCACCCTCCACTTGCTGTGATATCTAAACGATCTGATCAATATTCTCCACCTGCCGAGAGTCAAAAGTGACATACCTGCTCAGAATAAAAGCAAAGTTCTCCTAACTGATAACCAAACGAGCCTTTGAATTCCAAACGTGCAATCAGATCAAATTTCACATCCTCGACGTGACCAAATGCTGGAAAACCAAACATCCGACATAACCCAAAATCTGAAGCAGCTCCACCAGATCCAAAATCACTAAGCGCATCAGTCGGCAACCTATAACTAAGATGACCCAAATATGTCGAAGCCCGAAAGCCAAATTCAATGCTTGACATCAAACACCGATCCTCCTCCAGAAAGAAACGACCAATCAAAAAAAATGTCATCTCATCTCGTCGCCTCAATATTTCCTCTCCAATAAAGTATTTCAAACTGTCGTGAGCTCGGCACAAACATAGAAATAGCTCCCTCTTGTACCTCCCTCTAAAATCAGAATGAAGTACATTCATATTTCTACCAATACACTTCTTCAAACTGTTAGAGACTACTAGGACTTTATCCAATCGGGATTTGGTTGCAACCCAAGCATACCTAGAACAGCCAACAACAAAGGAAACTAAATATCGAATACCTCCCAATGATGGCTCCTTGGAAGGTCCCCAAATGCCTAAATGAACACCACCTAAAAAGACCCCTCGATCGATGGATAGAAGTGCCAAACTCCATCTCGGTCTTCTTGCTCATATTAATGTGCTCTTAGGACTTCAATTTGCAGTTCAAAGCACTCATCTCCAAATCAATACTGGAATGACTAAGCTCTAAATACCGTAGTCTAGTCGAATCAACAGAAATCGCCAGCTATCTACCTGTCACCGAACTTCCAATCAAATAGTACAGGTTATTCCTCCTGATGTCCTTCATCCCAATCAAAGAGTCTTCCACGATCTCGAGAACCATGTCCTCAACACGAACCTTCAGATCCTCTTCAACCAAAGCTCCAATTGAGATCAAGTTATTCCTCAAGGAAGGAACATATCTCACACCATATAACTCTCTAATTGTCTCATCAAACATCTTGATGCGAATTCTTCCTATCCCAAGGATCTGGCATGCACGGTTGTTACTCATGTACACCACACCACTATCCAGCTTCTTAAAACTAGAGAATCATTCATTTTTAGGACACACATGGTAGGTTACACCACTATCCAACATCCACTCGGATTCCTCCGAATAGCTACCTGTACGACTGATAGAAAGCGAATAAATAGAAGTATCAGAAATATTATCATCTGATATAACGATGTTTGCTTCTAATGATGGTTGCTTCCCTTTTCCCTTCTACTTATTCTTCATCCATTCGTCGAGCTTTGGACAATATTTCTTTCAATAACCAGTCTCCTTGCACCAAGCACACTGATCTTTTCCAACTGTAGGATGTCCTACTCTAAACTGTGACTTCCAATTCTTTCGGTTTGGATTCTTTCCTCTTGCGCTCAACGCCTCCACTACTGTGTCACTTGTAGACTCCTTATCTTTCTTTCGAAGCTGATAGTTCACAAGTATAGCGGTGACCTCACTATACGAAAGAGATGTCATCCCATTGATAAGAGTAAGGACGAAAGTCTCATATTCCTCGTCAGGCAAGGAACTCAACAACAACAATGCTTTATCCTCATCTTCAATCATAACATCTACATTTACCAAATCCACAAGAAGCTTCGTGTAGTGGTTCATGTGATCACCAATGGAGGTTCCTTTCTTCAATTAGAAGCGATAAAGCCTCCTCTTCAAATGCAATCGATTCTCCACACTCTTGGTCAAATACTTGCTCTCAAAGATCTCCCAAATCTTCTTAGCTGAAGTCTCATTGATCACATCATACTTTAAATCTTGAGTCAAACAAGACCTATTTACACCACACGCCGTTCGATTCATCTTCTTCCAAACCCTCTCATCAATATCATCTGGCTTGTCATCCAATTCCAAAATATCTTCCAAATTTTGCGCATTGAGCACATCCAAAACTTCACATTGTCAAAGTACAAAATTATTAGTGCCATTAAACTTCACCACGTCTATCTTCATAGAGTGAATATTCAAACTTTAGATAGTCTTCACACCTGAAGTACCCTCCACAACTCCTCCTTTCCCGGCTATAATTCCTCAAAACACCAACAACCAAAGCGGAACAAACGAAGAATAGATCCAAAACTGAGAAAAGATAGAATTTTTACTAAAAAATCTCACCTTTAACTCCAAACGAAGCCCTAGCCGAACTTTCAAAGTGATCTACTCCTCCAAATAGCCCAAGCGTAACCTGATCTCTGATACCACTTGTTGTGCGCGACGGAACAAACACAAACGCCGAGAGAGAAAGCCAAAACAATCCAAAATAACGACACCAACTCAAACACAAAAGTTTAATGTGGTTCGGCAAATTGCTTACGTCCACGGGGCAAGAAGGGATAATGTTTTCACTAATAGAGAAGAAGAGTACAAACTGTGATTACAAATCGCTCAAAACAATCAACTAATCTCACCAACAAAGCTCTTAATCTCTCCAAATAAAACCCTAAACAATAGCTCAGAAAATACCTCTTTTCCGTGCTCCAAATATTCCCCTAACAATCACTAATAAAAGCCAAAAAACCCTAATTCGTGTTTGGTATTTATACCAAACTCAAATCCCAAACAGAACAGGAAACAACAAAATAGGCCTAGACCCGACTCACGGTCGACCGCCGCACCACGTGCGGTCGACCGGATCCAACGACACTATAAAATCGACTACAGGGTCGTGCGGTCGACCGTCGCGCCACTCACGGTCGACCGCCAAGAGTCCTGATTCACACACAGGATCTGTGCACGAATTCGGTCGACCGGCCTTGCACAGCAGTCGACCGCCAAACACCAAAACAGAACCTGAGCTCCAAAACATATTCTTCTCCAATTCTACAATATTTTCAAAGCTTTAAAAGTACATAGTAGTTTTCTGTGATGATAAATTGCATGATATATTTGTGCAGCTTGAGACGATCATCATGCTAAATGCTGCCATACAGACATATAGACCAGAGACCAAATAAATATTCAAATATTGATACGTTCATGAATACTTCTTGAAATCTATAATTCCTTTTAAATAACTCTTGAAATGATCATAAGCAAATCAAAATGAAATCAATTACAGGTGTATATGGACATTGCAAGAGCTTTTCTTTTACAATACTTATCAACCTATCATTTACTGTTTAATTTTTTCTTCCTACAGGGTACACATATTGCATCTGAAAGGAGATAACAAAGAGATTTTAGGGCAAGTCTCAATGATTCTCTCCTTCATCAACCAGATAAAATCATGGGAGCAGACAAAATGGTCAATAAAATTCTTCCAGAATTTCTTGATAGCATCTTTAAAGAGTAGCCAAGTATAGGAGAAGAAAAATTGCCAGAATCTTGAGCATCTGGCTTCTATGCTGCAGTGAATATGCAGATGATCGCCTGGAAGGGAAAATGAAGAGGCCAGTTATTAAAAAAATTACAGGAGATGGAAAGTATGTATACAGTCTTCGTTTTTTATTTTTTGGGAAACGATGAGAAGCTGATAATTATTTTAATGATAAGTGAGAAAATTCATAAAAATTGGGGAACATATCATCATTAAAAGTTATACGTATCAGATTATTGATAGATTGAAGGCAAGCGTCGGCAAAATTACAACAACAACAGTTATATTTAGCAATAATGCATTTGACAAGCTCAAATCTTGCGAAAACGTTGAAGAAGTATGTGCATGAATAATTTCTTGAATCTATATTTTTAGAGCAACATAAAAGAATTTGTTTATCAAGCTATAATGCAAAACACTTACTGAGAAGACAGATACATGCACGATGCATAACCTGCAACAAAACAGAAAAAGACCACCAAATTAATTATATATATATATAAAAAAAAAGCAATCAGAGCTCAGTGATCAGTGAAGCAAGAGACTGTTACTTGGATTCCTCTTGGTGATGGTTGCAGTCCCCCCAAAGTTACAAGCAACATCAGAATTCCCATTCTCCTGGTAATAACTATTGAACGCATACGATGCATGAGACAGCAGCGTATCTGGCTGATGGCACGGCCCCCCGGGCTGCAGGGAGGAGCAATCTGCAGCGCCGAGGCCGCATACCCAGTCGAGGGCATTCTGGAGGTCGACCTGGGACGCTCCAGGGAGGGCCACACACCAAGTGCTTCCGTCGATGAACGTCGTGTTGCCCTCCGGTGGGGAGTTGGTGGGGATTGGGATAATGGATTCTGCTTTCTGGTGGACTCGCGCTGCTGCTGCTGCTGCTAAGGTACAGACTGAGAGAGGATGATTTCTTGGTGGTTAATTTTATATAACTTAGGATAAACTTCACAAACTACACATATTTGAACTTTAGCGGTTCTGCACAAAACTGCATGCAATCCTTTTCTATTACAGAAATCTAGCGTTTTAACTTTTTTCCGTCGATGAACGTCAGGATTTCCGAGAAGTGGTGTTACTACATGATTAATAACTTAAACAAAATTTACAATTGTCTTCAATGAGTTTTTGTATTTTGTATTTTGTATTTTGAAAAAATACGTAATTGCACCATTATAATGGCACTATCAAATACATCGTTTTCAGTACATGTTGCTAATCACAGGTTCCAGGTATATCGTCCCCAATATACGTCACTAATCGCTAGTTTACAAACTCGGACCTTGAATTGCAGCATGAATAATTTTAGCGGGTAAATTTTAGCAAAATGCCATTAAAATTTGTTGACCGCTATTTTCACATTGATGGATAAAATTATGCCAAAAAGCATTCTTTTTTGATGGAAAACTGTGTTTCACGTTTTCCGGAGGTTTTTCGGAGAACATGAAAGTCAAAGGTAGTTTTCGAATAAAACACAAAGATAAAGAGGGATTTTGTGAAATGTATCTCTTTTTGTTTACCGAAGACCTCAGCCCTAAGGATTTAGGAATGGGTTATTGGTCCACCTTAATCAAATTGGGGTCACGTGACCCCACTTTGCTCAAGGTGGATCCGTCACAGAGTGCCACATATGGTGTTTTTGTTAACTCTTGTTTGTAATTAATTAGTAACAAATGAAAATAGAAATTTGAGTTTTAAATTTTTATTTTTAGGAATCTTGTCAAGTATGGGGAGAATTTTTTTTTTAAAAATCAATAAAACACAAGGAATTATTTATTAGACATCAAAATTGTCCGCGACTCTTGGATCGAAGCCCAGGCCAGACAATCCCGGACTCGTGGCATGGTTGTAATTAATGTTTAATAGACATCAAAACTGCACCTTCAGCATGTTTACAGAACTTTTTTTTCTCTTAAAAGAACTTATTTATAGAATATGTATTAACTGCTTAATAGATAAATTCTGCGTAATGGAGGATTCTTAAAATCTCTCCAACTACACTAAAATTCTGAAGTTTTCATGAGGATTCGAGATTATAGGTTATTTAAACATGCGTGTTAATGTTGTGCCATCTTCATTAGTTGAAACACTGGCATCTCTTTTTTACGCAACGATATTTTGCCGGATTCAAAATTGTTTCAGTAAGATCCTATGGTCGTTACATCACATTGAAACTTTCAAGTTTTGGTGATGGTTGAGAATTATAATTGCCAAAGGAACTTGTTACTACATCAGAACTCCAAAAGATTTGGTAAGGATTATAATTTTATACTCTAGCATGCTCCCGCTAGTTGGGTACACTTTCATGGGCTGAAACATGGACTCACGGAACGATATATATATTTTTAAATCCAATTTAGAAATTTGTGGATAATAAAATTTGAAGATGGTTGCTCTAATACCATGACAAAAAGATCCCCTTCCACTACACCAAAAATCTGAAGTTTTCGCGAGGACGAATGATTGTAATGTCATACTCTAACAATAACTTTGTAATTTAGTAAGGTAAACAAAATGAATAAAATAACAGAAAACCTAGTATTCGATCAACCATGACCTGCAAAAAAAGAAACAGATAATGTACTAATGACATGTTATGCATTCTTAAGCTGAATACAATTAATGCCAAGTGGGATAATTATGTAGTCACATATAATTGGAGCAAATTAAAGGAAAGTATATCTAAACTGGTGATGATGTTTGAATATACACTTCTAGTTCTAATAATTTCGCTGACTAAATATATTAATAAAGTTTTCATTGAAAAGAATCTCCATTCTAGCCCATACTAAAAGGAGGTTTACCACAGAAAATAAATTAATCAATTGTAAACTAAGGTTAGCATATGAAGAAGAACATGTAAGGTAAAAGAACTGCCAGAACAAGTAAAAAGTTCACCAACAAATGATATATAAAAAATTAAAGAAACCAAGAGCAAAGATTAAACAAGCATCTTAAATCAACAAAGTACAGATCAAACAATTAAGAGATGAAAAAAATTGAGATTACCTATGAAGTACTCCAGAATTAAAAAGCCAATGCCATGAAAAATCCTCCCTCCCCTCTTCATTCTCTGCCCAAAACCCAAACTCTCAAGAAGAAGAGGAAGTGTGTACTATGAAGAGAGCTTCGCAATAAAAACAGAGTGGTATTCTTTCCTTTTTCTTTACAGAAAAAAAGGGGCTTGTAGATACTGAAGAAATGATGATTTTGGTAATAAATTATCACTGGTATGGTGTGGCTGCAGAGTTGAGAGTTGAGAGAGAGAGAGAGAGAGAGAGAGAGAGAGAGCACAGTTTGAAATCAGTGTCTGGTCTTGTTGCCGTCAAACTTAAGTACAGAAGTTTTCGGTTGCAACTGGACAAAGTAAAGGATCTCCTAGATTTTGTTCTGTATTAATGCATTAATAAATCTCTTTGAGAGCTATATATCCTTTTTGGTCATGGGTTTTTTAGATCTTAGTCCCTTAAATCAAATGTATTGTGATATTAGTTCCTTAAATCTTCATATTTTGTATTAGTCCCCGAAATTGCTTCCGTCTTGATATTGGTCCTTGTAGTTAGCTGTTGTTAAAATAGTTAGAGAATATTCCATTTTTTTAACTCTTTGTTGAATAGACAGTCATGCCCCTCGGTTCATGTACCCAAATCCAAAATAATTTAAGATTACACCCATTAAGACCCTTAACCTAAACAAGTTTAATAAAAATCCAAAACCATTTCACCAATATTCTCCCTTCAAACTCTATTCTTGATCCTTCCTTTCTACCGATCTTCCAGCCTCTCCTCTGTCTTTCCCTTCTGCTTTCTCATCCTCACCTTTCCCTGTCTCTGTCTTCACCTTTGATGTCTTGTCCTAACTCCTCCCTCCTCTTACTCTAAGGGCTTGTTTGGATTGAGAGGAATGAGGGTGAAGAAAAGTTAGGGGAACCATTCACCTCCATTCACCTTGTTTGGGAACACTTAGGAGGTGAAGTTAATTCACCTCCATTCACCTTGGTTCACCCCCTAATAGTATAAAATTGTTACCCCCCAAATTGGGGTGTAACCAAGGGGAAGGGAATTCCCTTCCCTTCCCTTCCCTTCACTCAGTTTCCCTTAACTTCCCTTCACCCCCTACGAATCCAAACAGGCCCTAAGTTCTCTGATTTCTCTCTCTCTCTCTTTGTGGTCCTATAACACTATCGTCGCCATCCTTGCCAACGTCTCTGTTGCTTTCAATTCCCCCTCCCTCGTAGCATTCTATAGAGATTTTTCTTCTTCTTTGGGCAAACATATTAGTTCCTTGAAATATAATATTTTTCCCTTTTACATTTCTTTCTTTCTTTTTTTCTTTCTTTCAATCATCTATATTCCATATAAATTGAGAACTATAAGAAAATCAATGCATAAAATTACAACTTTTATGATTTGCAAAATTCTAGAACTCCACCTCAAAATTAGGTTCTCAATAAAACATTTCACCCTCAAGAGCAGAGCGGGAGCAAAGAGGGGGAGTTGTTGGGTTAGGTTAATTTAATAATGGAGCTATTGAAGAAGTCATTGATGAGAGGAAGGCGTCGAGGACCATATCAACAACTAAATGCAATTTGAGGGACTAATATCAAAATATAAAGATTTGAGGGACCAATATCAAAATAGCTCAGATGTAAGGACTAATCTATACTATTTATAAAGAGGATTGGGGTGTTAATACTTTTGATTACCTTTTTTACCCTTCTAAAATTTGATAATTTACAATAATATCTTATAATTTATTCAATTCATTCTATTTATTACATTATAATTATTCTTACAATAGACATGAGAACTAATATTAAAAACTAAATATGTATTATAAATTTTAGTCATAAATGTTATTCAATTCATTCAATTTACTACACTAATTAGTCTTGCACTAAACATAAGAATTGGTATATTATAAATTTTAACCATATTAGTCTTATGTTAAATAAGATAAATATTTCACTTTAGATATTAGATATTATATAATAAATATACATTTTAATATATAAGATAATAATATCATATATTATACAATAAATATAAAATTTTTAAGATATAAGATAATAATATCATAATTTAAGATAGTTTAATATTTATTTAAACATTTAACATCTAATCTAATACACCATTATATTGATATGTGCATCTGATGTATAAAAAATACGTGGAGAGGAATACTAATATGTTAATCTTTTGGTATAGTCTAGAAATAGCATATAAATTATCATAATATTTATTACTAACTATTGCAATATGCTTATCATAGTATTTGGATATGAGATAATTCAAAGCATGCGGAGTTCCAAGCGGTGTGAGAAGCTATTCTATTTGCTATTAACAAATGTGGAAAGGTAAATTTTAAAGAAGACGCAGATGCAGTAATTAGGGATATGCATAATGGTGTGAAGCAACACTCGAGTTTTGGACACTTTGTGAATGATATTTAGAGATCTTACACATGGATAGCTAGGGAATGAGATATTCAGGTAGAGAATATAATGGCTAATGTGTTAGTCCAAAGAGCTAAGGAAATTAATGATTTTGTCGTATGGCTCGAAAACCCACCATCATTTTTATAAAATGTTTTACAATTTGATAAGGAGCAGCGTTAATCCACAATCTTTCTTGCACTTCTGGGTTTTTAGTTTAGTTTGAATGTGTACTAATTTTTTCATGATAAAACTATTACAATATAATAAAATCCTAGCTAATAAAGTAATTTATAACGTCTCCCCTTCTAAACCTACTAATGATGCACTTAATATAAATTTTAGTGAGAAAATCATCATTAAAGCATACAAGTATATTCTCTTACTGACTGGTCAAATTCTCCTCATGCACTAATTTTTTCATGAATAATCTACTTCCATAAACATGCAACTTGGATATCAAGGGTTGCCTAAAATAATGCTATATATGGATACTCAAATGCACAAAAGGAAATACTAAAAGAGTCAAAAAATAAAGGAAGTGAGAATTTTGATAGTGGACTCAATCCCTCGTTATATTAACTGGGATATCTTGCAATCAACAAGATTTCATGGGCGATGATTGAGAGAGAAAATTTTATTGCTTTTCTTTGGAGGAAACGAATTGATGTGCGACCAATTTCACCTCCAATTTAAAAAAAAACATCAATCTATTAGTTATACAAGTATGCAAATCCGTGGAGAGAAAAACTAATATAAATGTCAATAAATGCATGGCGAGTGCGTGGCTAGGGGGCTCTGTTTGAGTCTTCTTTGTTGTTCTAAAAAAATCATGACGATTGTAATATTTGATGGCCTTCAAATATTTTAGTCACATATCATTACTCAATATGCATCACGGCAAAACACGTGTTATGTACTAGTATCTAAAGACCCCTTTGGTTATATGCTTGGTCTTCTTCACGCTTAGACTGCCTTCATGCATGATGCATGAGCACGGATGCCATCATTTACATCTAGAACTTTGTCTAGGTTTTTTTATTTATAACTTTTTTATTAATGATTGAAGGATTATTATTGGTGCATTAGGTATAAAAAGTCACCCTTGTTTAATTGATATGTAGTGGAATATATTGTTTTTATTCAATATATTGATATATATTGAATATATTGTTTTATGGATATATAACAGAATATATAATAGAATATATTCTGTTATATATTGTTTTTATTTATAATTTTATTGAATATATTGTTTTATTGCTATATAATAGGATATAAAACATAATATAATATTTTTATTCAATATTTACATTAATGACGTATCAAAAGAATATCAACATTAATAAGCTAGACTTACATGTTTGGTCCTAATCCAACACCTTATATTTTTTCGCTAACTTATCAATGCCATAAACTGATATCACTATGTACTTCTCTTGTAACATGTATTGCTAACAACAAATGCTTTAGAAGTCATGATTTTTTTGGTTACATTCGAGTTAGAAATTTAGAGTTAATTATGAGATTTAAGATATTGTTTCATTCTCATGCATGATAAGACATATAAATATTAAATTATTATTTAATTGATAACCAACAGATTAGTGCTATTTTAACTCAAAATTTTATTTTGTGGCTACTGGAAAGAATCCAACTTGAGACTTTATATCATACTCAAAAAAAAAAATTGGTTAAGTTTGAGGATGTGCCTTGGAGCCCACGACAACAAAGTGATACTCTTGCATGTCATTTCTACTCTTTTTCTTCTCCTCTTCCGCACACATCCATTGGATCTTTTGAGATGTAACTTTTTTTTTGTTCTTTTGAGATGACAGCATTTGATCTTCGATTGGCAAAAGACTAGCGAATAGAGTGTAACTAAGGTTTACATATGAAAAGTTTAGCTTTAGTTCCTTGACAATCAAGAGAAGAACCAAGGAATCAAGCAAAGAGTGTGAAAAATTAAGCAAGATTAAACAATTGTATATTTGTTTGATTTACAGGCTAAAAATGTAGGAAGGTTGATTAATTATGGTATATGTGTTTTTCGCTGAAAGTCGCCTTCATGTTTGAATTCATTATAATTCTGATTGTTTACAAAGAATTCAAATATTCAATAAAAGAAAGATTATAATTCTGATTGTTTACAAAGAATTCAAATATTCAATAAAAGAAAGAAATAAAAGTTACAACTCTCTCGAAAATAACACAAGATCCGTCGTCGTTTCTTGCTTGCGTGGGTTTTTGGCCGGTGACGAGGACGTTGATATCCGTGGACTACCTGACAATCAGATCAGATCCGAAGCTCCGTCGATTCGCGAGGGAATCTAGAAGCAGAAGCGTTTATCTCGACAACGGTGAGATAATTGCTCTTCTTAGGATTACCGCAACGGGATAATCCTAAGGAACGGATGCGGGTGATGTAGATCTGAAGAAGCTTTCTCTCCTGTGTTGAAGAACTCGATTAATCTTCAATCCGGCAGGGCTTCGCCAATTCTCTAAAATTCCAGATCTGAAAAAATGAGGGTCCTGTGGCTGTATTTATAGGCTCCAAGGAAATCCGGGCGGTTAAAACCGCGTAACGACCGATTTTTGGGGCTGGAGACACCCCAGGGGGTCTCAGCGAGGCCGAGACACCCTTGGGGGGCTGGAGACACCCCAGGGGGTCTCAGCGAGGCCGAGACACCCTTGGGTGTCCCGGCCTTGGCAGAGACACTCTGGGGTGTCTTGCTTGTGCCGAGACACCTCGGGGTGTCTCAACTCAGGTTGAGACGCTTCTTTTTGCATATTCGTCCGTATCCGCCGTAATTTCTTCATCCGAACTCAGATTTGAGTGATTCAAAG